TCGTTTTTTTTTTTTTTTTGCATTTATTTTACGAGGAGTTGTGGCAGAACCTCAGGACGCAGATGCCCCTGTATGGGGCCAGCCCAGTACATGCACCGGATCTGCCAAGAGGACGGACGGCACTGTGGCTTGTCGCCTTTGCTGCGATGCATCCCAAGAACAAGCTGTCAGATAGTGGTGTAGAGGCTGCAGCACATAGAGTGATGTTTCATAAAGCCACTGCAAGCACAAGTCGCTGCAAGCACAGGGCAGTCCGTGATTTCCGTCTATTTGGGCCACGACTCGAGCAGCTTTGAAGCATGTGATGGGTGTTTAGACTTGGTTTCCGTTTTTCCAAAACCTGTGCTCTACTTACGCGAAGACATGCACACGTTTCCATCCGATACTTCTGGCACCAAGCATACTTCTTGGCTGCACTCTGGGCTTGGTATCCAAGCCAAGGAATAATTGTCGAGAAAAGTGGTAGGAAGTGTCGCGTAGGCCCGGGCAGTGCAGCAGAAGAATTCTTGGGCTGAGGTATCGCTGTCAGTCAAAACGGCCGCATACAGTGTGCTTTGGCAGCAGGACTGTTTTGCAGCTCGTGGATTTTTTCCAATAAGCTTGTCTTTGCATGTGTGGGCTGTTCGCATCCCAGGCGTCCTCGAGTTGGAGCGACTCTTTAACGTTAGGTATTTTCGTCCCAACATCCGCTTGGAAACCCAAGAATACCAGAACGAGTGGTACAGGGCAATGCGAGCAGTTGAGAGAGACTGCGAATGTGAAGATGGTCAGAAGCCCGCGCACTTCACAGATGGCATCATCGTGTTTGCAGGTGATTTCGAATGCTACCAGCTGTTTATGCGCGGTATGGTTGGCATGATTTTCAATGTGGAGCGGTGGCACATGGTCGACCACCATGAAGCACACGCAAATTTGGGCTATTATGCATCCCCATTTTTCTTAACTCCCAGGACAACTCTTGTTGTGTCGTATGACACAGCTGGCAATGATGGATCGTTCAACGTCTATGTGGCATCGCGTGGCAAGTTGCAACGAATTGCGCAATTAGGATACTCTCTTGGCAATGCGTATGACTTGGCGGGTACGCTGCTGCCTGAAGTGACGGGCCATCCATTAGAGGATTTCGTGAACTGCAGCGACCCCGACGTCCTGAATATGTCGTCTGGCATGAAGCTGGTACGCATCGGTGCCTACCACGAGACCGCGTCGCAGAAGCTGAGTTGGGCGGGGAAACTAATGGGCTATGCTGCCATCGGTGCTGCAAGGGATGACCTGCGGGAGTCTGTGCGGTTTATGTTCGAGGAATGCCGAGCTGCTGTCCCAGGTAACGCTGCTGTGCCCGCGAACCTCGTGCGGACTGCTTGCGAATCTGTGGAAGGTCAGAGGGCTGTGGCTGCAACCTTGCAGTCCGAGTTCGAGCACTTCCTGCAAACGCGGCTGGAGGCATTCCTCCGATTTTTGGGGTGCCTAGGCGAAGCATGGCACAGCAAGTAGCTGGTTCTACTCCGTAGGAGTGCTACGTTGTCTACTTGTGGGTCCTTTTCGTTCAGGCCTGGCAAGGTGGACAGCGTTGTTCTCACTGGCGGATGCGCACTCAACGTGCTGACGAACCAGTTCGTGTACGACTCACTCTCCTCGGGCAAGTCCGGCCCTTCGTCTGACATGTTTCAAGCCTGCACCCAAAGTCTCAACCTGGCGGGCCCTCCTTTCTTTGAAGTGGGATAGGCAGGTTTCTGAGAGGCCAAGGAGGCGGGATGAAGGTACAGTAGCCAGTCATCTCACCTCTTCCACAGACTTTCCAGCTTGGAGACCCGGCACCCAAAGTTGCTTCCCCAGGCCAGTGCAGAATGAAACACGCCCTTGCTCTCCATGAAGCTTGCTTCGTCACAGTCTTGATCATGCCTGGTTGAAACCAGTGCTATATCTCCACAGGAGGTGTGAAAGACCGTGATCCTGACTTCTTTGTACCAATGGCGCCGAATGACAGTGGTCCCTTGGAGCATCTTAGAGTCTTGTGTCGGGCAAGCATCAGAAATGCCAACGAGATCTTGGCTTCCACAAATATTTTGTAGAACTGTTGAAAAGCATGCAGCTCCTTGACGGCATGGGAACGCCTCCAATCAACGATATTGTTGATTTGCACGATGACCGCGGCCCAGCGCCTGAACAATCCTTGCCCACTTTGATCAGCACAAAGCATACCTCAGCAGCCCAAGCGTTTCGCATTGTGATCGTGTGCTTTGAGATACCGGTCTTTGAACACTTTGCGTTAGAACCTCTGTGGCTTTGTGAACGGCGCCCGGAAATCGCAAGATGCTAGCCTAAACCCCCTAAGCACCCAGAAGACCTGAAATCCTTCAATGTGAAGCCAGTCGGAAAGCTACAAATCTACCTTGCTCCCACATCCCTCTCCCAGGGCTGACTGTGGGTGGTATCTGGGCTCTGTTCCCTCCGCACAGCCAGCAGCGCTTGCAGCATCTAAGTTGCAAAGGATGGCAGGCAGCAAATAGTCGCAATGAGGGTCTTGGTATGGCAGCTATATAGCCACCATCTCATCCTTGTCCTCGCATGATGAGGGCAGGGCTTTTCAACAGATGTACAGCGGGGAATCCTCTTTCAATGTTTTAAAGTAGTTTTTCTGGCTCAGGGCTTCTGGAATCTGAGTTTTATGGTGTGTATGCCTTCATGGACAACTTGCAGTGTTGACTATGCAACGTTGGGCGCTTGGAAGAGAGGAGAGTTGAATGTGCTAGGCCTTGTGGCTTCTTGGCTTTTGCTTCTTAGTTTCTCGGTTGTTTGGCTTATGGGGCTTCTCGTGTTTTCCCTCTTCCTGCCTGATGTATTTTTGTCATTGTGGAAGTGTGGTTCGCGAAGCTGATTATCAGTGAAGCATTCTCACGTTTTTCGGCTCCATGGACTCAAATCCAGCTCTCGCGTGAGGCGCTTCAAATTTTGGCTCCCAACATTGGGAGAGTGGATGAAAAACACATAAGTAGGCATCAAAGAAAAACCAGGCATCAAAAAGCAACAGCAAATTCACAAAATTCTTCATTTTCAGTAAAACTCAATAGCTGTGCCCTGAGCAGTAGGGACAACAAAAACACAAAGGATCCAACGAAAACAAACTATTTGATTTTGTTGTGAAACTCACTAGTTGTAGCCCCCCGAGCCGGAGAAAGAAAGCAAGAAACAACAGAGAAATGCAGAATAAGCGTGATTAGCATCTACTTCGCGGTTGACTTTGACTGCGCATCCCGGAACTGCCCTGAAGTTTCATGCTGACCTTTCGTGACAACCCGGACTAGAGAGGCCATAAGGCCGGAGGGCAACCGTCACTCCATTAAGCCAAAGCCAAAGCCAAGGAGAGAAACAACGGAAGAAAGAAAGAGTGAAAGAAAAAGAGAGAGACAGAAAGAACGAAATAACGACATAAAGAGAGAACAATCAAGAAATAAAGAAGGAGAGAAAGCAATATAGAGAGAAAGACATACTGATAAAAAAATAAAGATTTTCATCATTCCTTAATAGTTTTCATAAAGTTTCATAGTTTTTCATCATTCTCATCATGTTTGATCATGTTCATCTTCTTCTCATCATGAATCACATCACATTGTCAGATCAAAAGCGGCGGAAGCACGCATATGTTCTAATCTTTGTGCAGGTTTTGCAATTTGGTGGGGGGGCTAAGCGCAACCCACCCGCTGTTATTTTACACAGCGTGTTCGCGCAAGCACGTGTCATCATCTTCCTTTTTCTCACCATAATGTTTCATGAGCTTTCTCTTTATTCATTCATCATTTGTATTGTTGTTCTTTCTCACCTTTTTCTCATTTGTCATATTTTAAAAGAATTATTCATAGGTTTTCATGATTTTCCATTGTTTCTCATGATGTTTCGTGATTCTTGATGTTTTGTGGTAGTTTTCATAATGCTTCATATTTTTTGAGTATGCTTCATTACCTTTTCTTTGCTTTTTCCATTGTTTTTTTAATCATTGTCTCTGGTTTTGCATCATTTTGCATTGTATCCATCATTTTCATGATTTTTCATCATTTGCATGATGTTCCATCATGATCATAATTAACAGCCACAGAATTCTTTTTTTACTTTTTTTTGATTTTCACAGTTTTCCATAATGTTGCACATTTTTCCTTATTATTAAATACGTTTTAATGCTTTGCCATCATTTTCAGAATTTTCAGCGTTTTTCATGGCTGTGCAATTTTCATGGTGTTCATGATTTTCCACGATTTTTCTTAACTATCATGATTTTCAATCATTTTCGCTAATATTCATTGTTTGTCATGGTTTCTCATACGTTTTCATGATTTTCCATTATGTTGCATCCTTTTTCATTGCCGTTTTTATTGGTTTTCATGAATTTTCATGTTTTTGATCATACTTCATAATTTTCAGCATGTTTTAATTCTGTTTTCATGTTTTCTATCAGTTTCATGATTTCTCAGCATTTTTCACTACTTTTGACCATGTGTCATCACTTAATATATTTTACTTCTTGTGTTTTGTTTTCCGCGATTCTTGATCATGCTTCATGATGTTTATCATTTTGCGTCATTTTTAACATGTTTCAATATTCTTATGACGTAATCATGTTCATCATCTCCATCACTTCTCAGAATTTTTCATCATGTTTCATCAACTCTCATCATGTTTCACATTTTTCATTATTTCCATGGTCTTGCATCATGTTTCGCCAGGTTCATGGTTTTCATGATTTTTATGTTCCGTTGTTTCTCATGGTTCTGCAACATTTGCAACATTTTTCACCAGTTTTCACGGGTTTACGTCAAACTTCATTTTTTCGTCATTTTCATGAGTGTCCTACCACGTTTTGTTTTGTTTTGTTTGATCCCCGAAATTAGCTTCTTTCTTGTACGCCAGCTACTTTTTTTTTTTTGATGCCTGTTTGTTTTTTGATCCTCCACCCAAACATTCTGTCTAAAATCGAGCTCTTAGATGCAGCATCCTCGCATCTTGGGCCTGGAGGGAGAAGCTCCAAGCCACTAGCCAAGCACCAAAAAGAAATTCGCCATTCACTGGAATTTCTCATCTATTACAGAAGAGCCGCCGGGGCATGAAAGACCAAAGCAACAGAGTGAGACGTACGAGCAGCGTGGGCCTGTCTAAAAAGACAAAGCAAGTGATAGCAAGTTTATATCAGTTTCCTCTCGAACACGGTTCAATGCAGTATCTCCGATGATGACAGATACTCTGAGTCTCTGGAAAGGGCCTGGCCAGTGACAAAGGATCACTACTCTTTGGTAATGACGTGGCGAAATTTGTTGAGGCTGCGGCATTGTCAAGAGAAGTGTTTGTCTATCAGCAGTCTTGGTGCAGGCTGTCCTTTGCAGACAGCATTAGTTGCTTTTCCAGGAATGCAAGGACCTGTGAGACAGGACTCTCCCCTTCTGGAAAGCTTCCCAAGTGCGTCTCCAGATCTTGGATCCTAGATCAGCCAGCACTTGGCTGTCCTTGATGATCGCCGTCCAGCACCTAAAAGAAATCCAGGTATCTGGGCTTTCCTCTCTGGGATCGCCAAGTACTGGCGGAGCAGGGGCGCCTGCGAGGGGCCAGGCTTGGGTTCAAAACAGTCCATAAGTAAATCGGGTGTAGGTTTTACCAGTACGATCTGTGGTCTCTGCTCGTATTAGGTAGTGACGGAGGACGCATTCTTTTTTTTTTGCTTTAGCTGTGCAACTGCTTGACATTCGCAGGCGTTGTTCTGCTCACTTGCCAAGCATGACAGCTTTTAATTAGTCCTGATCCTGCAGGGTGTTCACACAGCAAGTCTTCTCAGGCCAGCCTGTAGTTGCAGAGTCGCACTGCAGCGGATGCGCACACAAAGAATGCTGGATGCATGGCATGACCGAACGTGTAGTGATCCCAAGAGTTAGGAAGCGCCATGGTTCGAGATCCCGAGGTGGCCGTATGTTGTATGTACATGTGCTGCGGCTGGTGCATGGGCTGCATTTGCATCTTGGGCATGATCTATGCCTGGCCAAAACAGGCATCGTTCTGGGAGCTTGTCTTGATCGTGATGCTCAGCATTATGGGTTGTTTCTGCATTACTTTCAGACTGCTCCTATGCTGCGTAAACGATCGTGTGCAAGATGAGCCTGAGCTGGAAAGAGCACCGGATAGGGGCAAACAAGTATGGTGTCCCGTAGTCTTTGGCTCGGTGACAGAGGAGGCGGAACCAGACTTTCAGCTCGTGCGAGTCAAGAAATCCAAGTCAAGCCGCCCAGTCAAGAAGGTATTGGGAAAGGTTTCGGTGAAAGATTCAAATCCGATCATCCCCCAGGAGACTTGCATATGTTGCATGGAGGATTTCTTGTCAGCAGATGTCGTAGCACGTCTTCCCTGCGGACATATCTTTCATGAAAAGTGCATCATGCATTGGTTCCTGATCCGTGACTCTTCCCTGTGCCCCATGTGCCGATCACAATCAGCATCAGCGGCCCACAACGTAGACGAGCTAACGCTTGAGGACATACCATGAACTCGATCAAAGCCATCGCATGACTCGTCCTCCAGTTCCTTCACTTGCAGCATTTGCGGCATGGATGTGGCTGTTGGGCGAGCAGCTCTTGTTGTCGCCTTATGGTCATTGCCTGATGCCAAGCCGCCATGGAAGCTTCACGCCTTCGTAGGGTACCCCTTTGCCTGTCTGCTGATGGCGAAGCCATCTACTTCCAGACTAGCTGATACTGTCAGTGTTTAACTGTTCCAGCTTTTCAATCCATCATTTGCACCATTGCGCGTGGACGGAGTCAGTACGGAGACCATCAGTGAATGCTGATCTCCTGGCAGATCTTGGCAGGATCAATCTAGGCACATCTTAACAATCTTTACGCGTACTGCTCCGCCCTAGGCTGAAACAAGACGCGGGTACCTTTCGTGCCAGTCCAGGAAATTGCTGAGATTCTAGTCCTGCTCTGCTTAACGCTGTCAGGGCCGGAGTCGAGAGCTCTTCCAGATTCCAGACTTCTTCTTGAGCTCGGGGGAGTAGGGAAGTGAGGTGGTGAGTGCTGACTGAAGCTGACACTGGTTATGTTGTACAGGCCCTCTCTTTCCCTTCCCTTCCCTTGCCGCCCCTGAGTCCATGTTGCACCTTTTTTTTGGCGCTCGGCAGACATCCAGTTTTGTCGGAGCTTGAGCCACCCAAGTCCAGCTCCTTTGCCTACTTGCTTGTGCACTTGCTGTCCACACTTGTTTCCAAAGATAAAGTTCTACATCCCTGCTTTCCAAGCGCGCGCAACCGTCGCTTTATTTGCGCTTTGGAGAGCAGGATACGAGGCATTGCTCTGGAGCTCTGAGGGGACAGTAGCTGGAAGTACGTTTATGAAGGATGTTTAGTTGTGCATGAAAACAGTTCTCATGGAGCGTTGCGGATGGCAGGACTTGCAGGTCCGCATTGTTGGTACATCTTTCTCCCCATGCCAAGTAGGCCTGCTATTCTAGTGATTCTTGGCTATCTGCGAATGCTCAATGCTCATGCTCTTGTGGTTTACTGATCCCGTCTTCTGCTACCTAGGCGTTCCCCCCCGCTGCTTTGGGGCTTTCACCTTACCTGACCTGGACAAGGGGACAGTGCGAGATGGGAATCTACGAGAGCTGAACGATCCTGTCTGTAGATATATGGCGGTGCGTTTCTTAATCAATAGAAGTCTCAGCCTTGTTCCTTGCTTGTTGCAATCTCACCTAGAGGCAATGCAATGCGCAAATGCGCACTGTTCAAAGGAGCCTAACTTTAATGATGGCATCAGTTTAGAGAACCTTGGTGGTTCTACGGGATGATCTGATTCTACGTGGGTCTGATCTGGCTTCATAGCGAAGCCACAGACATCTTCCACTGGAGTCCCAGACTGTGAGCCCTTGGGAGTTACCAGGCGCCTCTCCAAGCTGGGCGGTGTTGACTACCTGGCAGAACTTCTTGCCGGAGGCGCTGCTTGGCAGAGGCAGGACGAATCAGGCAACCTCGAGTCATGCATGCCAATTTATATGTTTCCCTGGCTGTGCAGGCATCCCAACCGCACGGCTGACAAGCCCATTATTGCAGTGGTTCGTGGACGACAGGTCCCCTGGCGCAATCACGTCCCATGCCAACCTCAGCCTGCTAAGTGCAGGAGTTCGGGCCGCGGGCCCTGGGCCACAGGTCTCTGCTGGCTGTACCTGACTCGGAGGACCAAAGATACTGTCAAGCTTTCTCCTGGGTAGTACATGGAGGCAAGGGTGGAAGAATGGGCTGATTTCATCCAAGTATTGTGATGTTGTGCCCCTGAATCTTGAAAAAACCATGTTGCCTTTTGCAGCTGCCACGAGTATCAGCAAGCGCTCTGCAGGAGATGCGAGACCGCATGAACCGTCTGAAAGCCCGTACTTCGGCAGCAGATGGGTCCTGATTGGAAGCATCTAGCAACCTTCCCATTGAATCACGAAGAGGACAGTTGTCGGAATGAGGGCTCCGAAGCAGTCTCACTTCAATTGGCCGTTAAGCCTCAGGCAGGTTTTCGAGTTAATATGGTAGAGCTCCTCGCCAAGCATGCTATGATAGACCCTCCTTGCAAGGGGCCTGGTATCGTCCGGTCGCGCCGATGGTGGCTGAAGAGGCTTGCGCACCTCTAAAGGTGAATTGACGGGCCTCAATGTCTGTTAATCAACCCTCAAGTCTGGTGCTCTTATCGGCCTTGGGGTTGTGTGGGCCACGAGCATATGCGTCTCGTTCGAGGGCTTGCGTTAGCTTTTAGAAGTTGCTCAGAACATGAAGTCCGATCCCATCGCAGCCTGAGCAAGAAGACGATTCTGGGGATCGTGAGGTCTTCTCCCTGCCTCGTAGTAGATGCACGCGTCTCATTGTCTTTTCTTGCCTTGTGCCAAGGCCTTGATTCAGGTGTTTGGGCGACCGGTGCATTCGCCGTACATGAGTCCTGGTAGCATACGAGTGGCTCGTGGAAGCTTGAGCGGTCTTCTAGAGCAGGGCATCATGGCATGTGCTAGCTTGTCTCTTCAACGAGTCTGGTGTCATGTAGAGTAGCTTGAGGACCATGGCGCCGCAAGTGTTACCCGAGATCCAACAGCGCTTCCCGGCCCTCGCACACTTAGATGGCACCGCCAGGCGTGGCGTGTGAGACACAATGAAGGTCTCTTCCAAATCCCATACTCTTCTGCAAGAGTAACATAAAAACGGCCATAGATAGGGAACCACTAGAATATTGCCATCACGAAGTAGCTAGTGCTTTGGGTTCTACCGTGAAGTCATGAATTTAGATGGTCATTCTTGTTCCTGTTAGTGACATGCCATGAACCCCTTCGCAGGCACCAGTCCGTAACTCGGAAGCATGATGCTCCAGGGACCTTGCCATTTTGAAATCTAATGAGCTGCGGACGCTCCAGAATTATGTGACAATGCAGCTTTAAGGTTAGCAATCAAGACGAGCCATGGGTCCACGCTCTCCTGTCACTTGGCTGTCTTTTACAGCAGCTTCTCTTTAAGCTGGGGCGGACTCTGGTAGCATAGATGAGCATTGGGAGCTATCCACTTATTTCTTCAGAGACTAGTTGCTCCTTCAAAGCATGCGGCACTGCATATGGTTGCGCAACTCATATGGTTGCGTGCTCAAACCCAGGGTCCTCAAGAAACACCCTCCATGGAATTCCCTGGACAAAAATAGATCCCAGGCTGGCGGTGGGCCGGCTAACTGGCTTAGCTGCATTGATCAACACCAGCTTCAACTCCAAAGGCAAGCCGATAGTAAACCGAGCCTTGCCCTAATGCAGGAGGAAGTGGTTCGAGCTTCCTTTCTGGTGCGAGGTGTTGACTCAGGTTCTTGAAGCTTCTCCAGACTCTTGATTTCTGTACACGCAGGCCAGTATTTGGAGCCCCAGCTGTTCAAAAGCCTACATGGCCTACGTAAGCTCAAGGCAGTTGAACTTAGATGGGCTACGATAAGTTGCCAGGCCACTGAGGTCCAAACTGATGCTGGAATACCACCCCTCCCCTGGAAGCAAATTCATTTCTTTGGGATGCATTCTGGGATTGAGGATTAGGATGTCCAGTTCACTTCTGATGTAGGGCGACAACAGCCCGCGCCCATTAACATGTGGCAGGGCCTAGCTGGCATGCTGTCAATGCCCAATCGTGCAACTATGAACGCTGCTAGCACATACTCCTCCTTGACGTCCTCATAAGTAGAGCGGGGATGGCCAGAGCCACCTTCAATCTTCCCAAAACCAAAGCGGATAAGACCATCAAATGCAGCTGCAAGGAACTCTTTGGATTTCTGACCAATCCAAGGCGTGGTAGACTGTCTTCAGATGCTGGATGAGTTGCCGGACTTGGACTTCGTCTTGATTGAAGATTTCTTATTCCGGAAGAGGAGAGCCGGGGCCACCTGAACCTCCGCTCTCACGACATTAGCTGTGCTAATGTTAGATCCCCCGCTACTCAGGTTTAGCAGCTTGACTTGCCCAAAGGTTCAGAGATCCCGCCGGTAATCCTGGACAAAAGCGCGCGAGCGTGCCGCGCCGAACCATTCCATCGGCAGACGTGGTGCCTGCACTAATAACATTGCTGGAGAGCATGAGCCGTTTGCTGCTACATTCTGCTGTCCCATTCTCTGCGGCTCTTGCTCAGGAATGTCTCTGTCATGGTTCTGTTTCATACGCAGGGTGGCAACATGTACAATAAGCACGGAGAGAGAACTTTGGACATGGTCCAGGTATGGAACAGCTCTCATACCTCGAGACCTAGCCTGGACGAAGTCCAAATCTGCAACATTAGTGTTGGCTGAATTCACCATGGTGGATGCTCTGGACGAATTAGATCGGCAACTGCTGGAGACCGAGAATGCATTGCAAGCCATCGAGGACGGACATTTGCGCGCTAAACACCCTCTACTCCCTTGTCATTTGCAGGCAGAAGGCCCTAAGCTTTTAAACTCAGATCCCAAAGGCCTAGGTGTCACCCCCCCCACATTTCGGAATCCTGCAGCCCGAGCTCCAAGTCTTCCCGAGAGGCCCAGCTTAGCGAGCCTGCTGCAGCACCCTCGCCGTGCTGCCTAGGTGAGCGAGGCCAATTATGGGTTGGTCCGCTCTGGTTTGGGCTTCTGGATTAGAGCAATCCCTCCCGATCAACGTATGAGGGTACACCGTCAGAGCTCCGGTATTTTCTTTAATTTGGCAACGCAACGATTCGCTGATCTCATGGGTCTTTGAGCCCAGTCTCTGCTTCGCGCGACTCGCGAGGCCGAAGCCGAAGCAGTTTCAACGACCAGGCCAGCTGAACAGGAGCCCATCGGATGTTGACAGGAGCTCAGCTTTATGAGGCAGAAGTCAGAAGGGTTCAGCTATTCCCTGGCTTCGGACTTGGGAATCCATTGTTGCTGCGGCGAGAGCAGAATGCTGGCTGAAATGGCCCAAGGCTTAAGACGTTTCTAACAATCATTCTGCTGAGCTTCATCTAGTTTCGCAGAGATGGATGCAATGCAGCAACCCTTGGTCCAGCTCCACTACATCGGCTTTCAATGCACCAGACGGAACGAAACCCAACGATAGGAGGTTGTGCTCTCCAGCCCATGGTGGAAAGGTTTAGCAAAAAACGGGTATAGCCATGAACACGTCCTTTACTTGGCTGTGACAGTAAACAGATCTTCACTTGGCAGAACCCTCCCCTAGCCTCGGCCAGCTCCCTGGTCGCTGGTGCCGCGCCTCGGCATTGCCGACGTGGAGGCGTCCCACTGCGCATAGACTGCGGCTGAACAGGCCTTTGAGGCTTGCATCATCTTTGCAATTCAGAGTTGCGGAAACTTGGAAACTGTAAGCCCGCGTGAGGAGTGTCCTGTGGGTTGGTCTGTTTTTCCAAGAGACTTGAATACTGTGGAGAGAGAGGGCCCAGCCGGCCCACTTGTCAAAGTCTCCCGGCAGGAAGTTTCCCGGGAAAGCTGCCTCTCCCAGAGGCAGGCCGCCTCAGGGTGCATGAGGCAGCAGTTGGAGTTGTGTGTAAAGTTTAAAGGGCACGTATCTCTCAGAACATCACGATTGTCCGAACTGCAGTCTGATCTTCAGGGTTGTTCGGCGGAGACTATGCTCTCATTGAGGCATCAAAGATTTTCCGGAACCTTAGAATCAATCCGTCCATCCTGCTTGCAAAGCCCTGACCCCCGAGCTTGTGCTACATGGGCATGAGGCTTCGCGATGATGACCCTAAGACGCCTAGTTCCTGTTGGTGCTCAGGAGCCAAAGCCCGCTCCGGTCCTGGGACCTTCTCTACTGAGGTGGCCCCGCAGAGCTCATGATCTAGGCAGTCCCAATGGTGGTGGCTGTTTTGATTGTCAGTGCACACTGCAACCAGGTGTTTGTGTAACATCTTATCACTAGCCCTATCTTTCAAATTCTATGGCAGAAACCCCTTCCAACGCGGCAGGGCCACACTTCGAGTAGACTTATGGAGGGCAGCTTCAGGTGATGCGTAGCCCCAGCTTGTGTAAAGCGTTTTAAACTCTTTGAAGCAGAAGCGCTGGGCAAGGCGCGCTGGCCGGAAAAACGTCTCACCGAGGAGGAGGCTGGGCTTTGCCAGGTTGCTTCGTGTCATTCGATGCCCAGTCTAAACGTCAGGGTAGTGTTTGCTAAGAACCCTCCACCTGCGAACCCTGGCAGGGACAGATGCCTTTGCTCCATCCCTCTGACCACTTCCTGTCAACTTCGGCAATCAGCAGAGGCAGTTTCGGGGAATCTTCACCTGACAGCCACACAGCTACGTGAGTGTAGATGTAACCTCGTGCATCTAGGTCCTAGGGTCCTGCAGGACTGTTCTTGATGATGCTTTGGTTGAAGATGTGTTGCCGAACCTTCGCTTAAAATATTCTTGACGCCAAACTGCATTGTCTCGCTTGACTTTTGCCCTAGCCCTAGCCACCTTGTTCGATGGTAGCATTCGTACCGGCAAGTCCCTGCAGAGTTGAGCTCGTTGATCTTTTTGGGGCGCAATCGACTGCGGTTTTTTACCAAGAGAGCATGCATTGCTGGATATCTTCTTGGCTCCGGGAGGTGCTTTCATCGCTCCGCCTGAATCGCTGAAACCTAAGCAGATTCAGGAGGCGTGCACCTATTGCAGCTCGAAACCATGTGGCTAAAGTCATGAAAGAGGAGGGCTATGTCAAGGACAAGAGTGAGAGCAACCTGTCCAGGCTCGGCGATGGCTCAAGCAAATGGCTGCAGAAGCTAATTCAAAGGACTGACTCCTGAGCCTGCCGCACTGCAATTCGGGAGCCAGCCCAAGTTGTATTATTTCGGATGCTCAGATCATAAGTCCAGTGGCAACACTGAGGAACTGCCAGCGCACTAGTCGTATCAACGCTGTCGTGATACAGATGGTACACGATCGTGTACCTAGCGTCTCTGATAATGGCTTTAGCCTAGCGAGGATGAGTATAATATAGTGATGATTGCAAACTTGCAGATCAAGATCAGAAATGAGGAGAGCGAGCTAAAAACATCATGATAATTTCAGTGAGAATCCTACATCTCGAGACTTGTGGTACATGGTAAGAATGGCAAAGATGGCGGGGAGAAACTTGATTCTCTGATGTAGGAGGCTGCAGCGCACCTGGTAACTCCGGGACTTGAGGGCGTCGCAGCTGCATGGCAGGCAGGAGCCAGCAGAGTTGATGGGTCCCAGACAGTTTTTTGCTGTAGCTATCATTCCTAGTACCAGGATGATTAGAGTGTCAGCTCTTGTGGGATCCTGGTACAAGCAATGTAGTAGATAATCGCTCTTGTCTCTTGTCTTTTCCTGCACCTGGCTGCTGTAGGCCTTGCTGAAGGAGGAGGACGCCTGCCACATGCATCTCGGCATGCTTTCACAGTCTGTTCTCAAAAGCGTAGCAGACTTCTACAGTCCACTGTACGCCGGAGGGCTGGTGACGACCTGTTCGACGATGCCAGCACAGCTGCCGGCAGTGATCTCTCCGAGCGACTCGTCTTGGGACGTATCTTGGGACACAAGTGTGACCTGTGATTCTGGCAGCTTTGCGTGACGAGACTGCTCTGAAATGCATCTAAAGAGATTGTCAAGACTAGTGACGGGTACACGCGTCCAGTTTGTAGCCATGGTTTTGAAAGGGAAATCAAATATTCCTTCCGCCTCCTTCATCCCTGCAGATCTCAAAACGGGACCTAATCAAAGGCTGCTCTCTGTGGGCTCGGCGGAGCCTCCAGGACCGGGGGCATACGAGCCGTCGCTTCGCAAGCAACAGAATATGCAAGCAGCTTTCCTTCCGAAAGAGGACTAGGCTAGTAAACATGCAAGAGCAGTACAGGCCCAAAAGCCAATGGCGGGAAACGTAAGCCGCGCTAAGAAGAAGTAAGTCAACGTTTTTGGGTGCCGCAGCCGCAGCTGGAGAGCTGAGCAGGTGTGCTTTGAAGGGGCCGGACCGCCGTCATGCAAGAGCGGTACGGTTTACGGCTGGCCATGATCGTACTGTGATGAGCTTAGGAAATTCGATGCGCTGCGCCCATCCCTAGCGAAGGGGGCACCAAGTTTCGATCGCCCCTTGACTCGGAGGTTGCAGCTGCATGCATCTGTCCAAGGGTATGGAATTGAACTGAAGGCGACTAGTGAGAAGATATGCTGACTTCCTGCCGGCCCGCACCAAATCATATGCTGAGGCTACAAAGGGAGAGAGCCGCGGCAGCTACCTGAGCCTCCTGATGAGGCTGGATATCTTTTAGGGAGGATTCTCTGCAGCGAGCATAAGATAGCACACAGTGGCAGAAGTGTATTGACGTCGCGGAGCGTATTCCAAGCTGTTTTATTTTGTTAAGCAAGCCTAACCACCGCATTACTGTTTGTTCAAAAGCGGATGCTGACAAGCTCACTTGTTGCTGCTGCCGTCAAACTGCATGTGGGCCTCAGCTTCAGGAACTGGCTGGCTTTGGCACCATTCCACTACACAGTTAGACCTTCAGGCCGAGGAGCAGCCACCGGCACCGCCACCACCCCCGGTGCCCGAGCAAAGTGACGAAGCCTACAAAACAGGTCTTGGGTTTGCTGGATCCTTCGTACGGGGTGGGCAGTACAGGGCTGCCGAGTTTGGACCCCGACTCCTGCTAGGGAGTGTGCTTGAAGTCTGAGTGGTTGCTGATTTGGACATTTGGACGTCGGAAAGGTTCCTTCTTTACGGGCTACATTACTCGAGCAAGAGGTGCGGGCGCAAGTTGTTCTTCAGTTTTCACGAGGGTCGTCCGTGAAGACAGGTTAAATTTACGGGTGGCAACAAACATTAATATGTATTTTGATGTGTAGACAGACATAGGAAACACTTGCCAGACACGAAGCAGTCTATTCCGCGACATGGTTCCGAAGCAGGATCTAGATAGTGCATGGACATTCTGTGAAGTCTGCTTCTGTTTGGTCACTTATTTTCCGCCCGTGTGGTTCAGAGTTGTTTTTGTGGCGGGAAGGCAAACCACCTAGTTGTTAAGTGTAGAAGGAGCACTTGGCACAAGGAGGAACCATGCCGACCTGTCAACCTGATAGAGTCCTGCCACTTGGTCTTGCACTGCAAGGCTTCACATGCCGCGGCGGGAAGATCCTGCCACTGCCCAGGACGCGGCCAAGAAGAAGCTGGCTGCAATTCATGCATTGGACCAACTTTATTCCTGCAAGCTTTCCCATACCTTTTTGAACATTGTGAACTGCATCCCCATCCCTAATGTCCGGCCTCGAATCGGCGGAAGTCTTGGGCAAGATGTCAGAGTGTGCCTCATCCTAGGAGGCACTGAGGGACAGCGCGACGCAGATGCAGCGGCAAAGAGACCCCTGCCTCTTGCCTCGCAAAAGGAGGGGCCGAAGATGATGACTGTCAGCGTGGTTTTTTGACCTGAACTTCTTTTAATTCATCCCAGCGCAACTGGTCGTCTGCAAAACAGCCTGTTGCTGCTAAGGTGCTACGACGGTTGGATCTCTGAGCGTGTGGAGGCCAGCTTGCATAGCAATGAATTTCAGCTTCTGTAGGCTAAGGACAGGGTCTGCCAGCTTTGAATGTTCAGGCGGCTGAGGCCATCTCAAGAAGCTACCTTCCCCATGCAAGCGCAACCTGCAAACAGGCGACCATGCCTGTTGCATCACTTGGCCCTGGCGACAAGGATGGGACGGGGGGTTGTGGATTCTGCATGCGGAGGTGCCGAGTAGTGATGGCTGTACAGCCAAGGCGCTAACTGATTCCATTCAGAAGTGCAAGCGTTGAAGGAGCTGCGCGGCTCCGTGGAGACCGGGCGTCTGTTGCCGCTGCAGGTGGGCCAATCTCGTATTGAGTAAACTAACACTAAACTAGCAGTCCGCTTAGGGCTTTGCAGTGGACATACCCTCGGGGGTTTGAAAAGGTTTCTCACCAACGCAGAACACTGGGGCAGAGGGCCAGCCGCCACAGGTTAAACATCATGAGCAAATCACTTCTACGCTCTAAGTAATTGAGCTATCTTAGTTGTTGACTTTCGTACACGGCTTCAGCATGTACAACTGGAATCGCAAGAGCATGTTCATGGAGGGTAGAGACCCTAAACCGTAAACTCTAAGCGCTGACCCAGCACAGCACCCCAGTTCTCGGAGGCTTCATGGATTCTAGGAGTTACAGATAGCTGCACAGTTCTCATGTATCCCGCAAATCTCTCAGATTTTGAAAGAGAACGGATGGCTGCTTCTAATGTGTGAAGCATCACTGTGCTAGCAGCGTTCAAGTAGCAGCAAAACCGAGTATGAAGGCGGATGATGGTCCAGGACCTGGATCCTACGAAGCACCGGAACTTCTCCCAGGTCACATGCGCATGTGGGTTCCGGAACTTGCCTCCCCTTAGAACCGGGTGCATGAAGTGATTCTTGCCAGGTGCTCATCACAAGTTTTTGATAGCCCCTGTAGGTCTTCCTCTCCTCTCGACCATTCTGTCGTACGAGTGATGAGTCAGCGCATGTCAGCGCCTAGAATCGTCAATGAAAGCTCGTCTGCGTGAAAAGGCCCAGCAGCGATCATCGCGCCAGAGCCCCATGCAAAGGAGGAGAAGGCACAGGTACTGTCTCTGCATGGTGTTTGATAGGGAGCAGCTGAGTTTGACAGCAAATCAATGGATTAGAGAGTGTTGAGGCGTCACAAGTTGCCTCTTCAGATTTATCTTTGCGGCTGATTCTTGTTTGCATGGCGGGCCGTTCGTTCACAAACGGATATGGTTGTCACTGGCTTTCTAAAGAGGTTGAGCCCCTCCGTTTCATGATTTGGATAGCTCCCAGGCAGTATCTACAGAGGCTGTAAGTTGCTTGACAGGCCACGCCCGGCCCCACCAGCTACGACCTGCGGCAGTCCCAGGCCGGATCTTCAGAGCTTGATTTGGCGTGGACTTACTGGCAGCAGATCCCTCACACATTTGTACAAAAGCAGATTAGACCCGATTCGGATCCGAGGCGATGTGGATTCCACACTTCACTGTTCAGCATCGTGTACGGCTATTCTTCTCTAGCTATCCAAATGGGATTGGTTACTGGCGCAAATTTCTTCGCCACATCTCTAGCCTTCAACTAGATTCAACTAACTTATCTTCTCACCTTAAGAGATCACAACTGAGGCTCACGTCTACCCACGGGGCTTCGCGGCCGACCTCGGCGCGGCCCGCGAAGATCCGACGCAGCGGCCGCCAGATTATGCGGCTCGGCCTGAACATCAGGCCTTCAGGAAGCTTCTTCCATTCCTAAAGCTCCAACACATTGCTATTTTGGCGGTTCTACATGTGCCGGGAAGCCAAGAGATTTCTCAGTGTGCAGCGCTTCTGAATCAGGAGCTGCTCGACTCTGCTTTCCTCAGGTCGCCAGCTATGGCGCGTTGGAACCACAATGGGAGGTGACACGGGCCCGCAGCCCTTCAGCAACGATCCCGCCGGAGGAGTGACCCAGCGACCCAGCTTGGGAGTGGCTGGGTCAGCAGCGTGTTTTTTTGGGAGGTCGGTGGCAAAGCCGGGGTCTGCTGTGCGTACTGTCGCATCTCAAGCGGCTGCTCATGGCTCAGGCTGATGAGGATACGTTACCCTGAAAAGCTGCTTATGTGCTGCATGTTTGCTGAGCAGTTGGCAACGTACCAGCTAATCTGCTCCCTAAATTTTCAAACCACAGACTTTGCGAGTCAACTCTCGAAATCATGAACTCCTTCATCTTGAATCTGAGCGACCTGAACCGCAAGGCCCCAAAGACCTCCAACATCCATCGCTTCCCACTTCGCAGAGAATCCTCCACTCAGAGCGACCACTCTCACACTCCACGCTCCGCGCAGGAGAGCTGCGAGGCGCTCCGTGCTTCGCGCTTGATGCGCGGCCGGGCGCCGCCGGCGGGCACAGGTGCAGTATGTGGGTGTGGAGGATGTGGAAGATGTGGAAGTTTTTTGGCAGTCTCAAGATTGTCAGGTGCTGTTTACAGTACATCTCTTTACGGGCCTGAAGAGGGAATTTTGTTTGCCACTTGCATCTCTTCCATCTGTTGATTTACACAGATGTTGCTCCTGAAGCCTTAGCCTGTCAGCCCTGCATCTGCAAGGCGAGCGCCTGGGCCCTGGCACCTACAGCGCCTCCAGCGCTCCGCTGCTGCGGCCAGACCTGGCAGCCCTGGGCCCAGGGTGAAGGGATCCGCGCACAAACGGGGTTCCTTGATTACCCGTTTGTCGGGGTACTTGGAGTATCCCGATGACCCTGCAGAGTTCCATTGTGTCCGTTGTCCTGAAGCTGTGAGCTTTCCAATCATGATTTTTTACTTATCAATCGTTCTGAAGTTTGAGGTCCAGCTGTGGCGGCCGCTGCGGACTGGACTTCCAGAGCATCTGCACGGCCTGTTCCGGCTGCGGTCCGACTCCCGGGCCCTGCTGGACACCGAGGCACCGGGAAGCGTTGAGGGTCTTCTGCCGTCCATCCCCAAAAAGGTGCAAATCATTCCTAGGTCGCGGGCCTGGAATCAGTTTGACCTTCGTGCTAGAGCCAATGCGCAGGCTGACATTTTGCTTCGACGGAGGCATGCTGCACCGATACTTGTCACAGAGGTGGTCTCGTCAACTTGTGGGCGAAGCAACCTAGGTCTCGCAACAATGAACTCCAGTTTTACACAGTCGATCCGTCAGTTTCCACGCAGCTCCGTGAGAGCCAGGGTTGATGGAGGCATCCAGTGCAAACTGGTGATTCTCGAGCTGTCACAGAAGGCTTACTACCTTTGGACGCCTGATCCATTCCTTTGTGTTACTGAGACTTTACCCTAAAGCTCGCCATCTGCAGCCTAATGGATTAGGGGTCTTTAGGGGTGTTTAGGCGCCGACAGGCGCAGGCGCAGGGGTTACTAGTCGCCGAAAGGCGTAGGGGTCTCTAGGGGTGTTTAGGCGACGAGAGGCGTAGGCATAGACCTTTTTGCGCCGAATGGCGTAGGGGTTTCTTCTTCTTCTTCTTCTTTTG